CAATCCAGTCATTGTTGAAATGACATCAGCCCATGTTCCAGCTGGACTGGGACCCAAGTTAGCCATCAGAACAAGACACATAGACATTTACTCTGCCCAATTCTTGCATGCCTGCTTTATCAAGTTTTCCCTTTTTAAACCTCTGCCTTCCACCACCACCCCACCCCAAATCAGAGCAGTTACTTTGGATAGGAATCTGGAGGCTTCTCTCTCTTTTTTTTTTTTTTTTTTTTACTAGTTTTGGTTAATAAAGTTACTGTCTTTCTACAAGGTCTTGCTATTGTTAATCGGACTATACAAGCAGAGAGCATCTGGACTTGAGTTTGATTACAAATATACAATGATCTATAGGTGGTCACAATGGTACTCAAACATTCTAATAATTAGTGGAGCTCATTCTCTTTATGTTACCTTAATTAGCCATGAGTTTTGAGAAGCACATAGAATGTTTACTTGGGGATACCAAATTTTATTTTGTGCCACTGACTATATAAAATTTAAATTACCCATACTTGTATATCATATCCCCTTGCTCCCCCATCACCACCACCAAGACTATAGCACTGGGAGGACAGGAACCATCTCTCACCTACTCTCTATAAGCTACATAGCAGCTAAAGTGCTACATCCTCTGCAAAGCCTTCTGTGACAGTCTGTTCTCACCAGAAGGTAATTCCTTCCTTGCCTCCTTGTTGTATTGAGTGTCAGCACTACCCCTTTACTTTAAGATTTTTAGCACACTCTCACTCCGCTAAATATTTCAAGCCCTTGGGGAATTAAAAAAAAAATACTCAAAAAACAGCTAGGATCCATGTCCTTAATAACAAAACTAAAAGCTAGCCATAGGTAGACACATATTAATCGAGCTAAATTACAGTATGGCCATTTTTCTTCTAGTACAATTACCTTTGGCTTTAAGACAAAAATGAATCATTAGGGTTCTGCATGTCTTCTGGCAAAGAAATAAATACACAGTGTGAGCTGAATGCTCAACATTGTGAGTGTCATTAGAACAAGTTCTATAGATATGCATTTGCCGAGTTAATCCTCCTTCATTATCTTCATTAGCTAACAACGCACATGGAGTCACTGCCCATAATTATCGCCCTAACAGACATGCATGTTTGAAATATTAACTTTCCCACAGACTCCAAACCTTCAGTAAGCAGCTCTCAATGATTCATTACATTAATAATATATGTCATCATACTCCTCTTAAATATGCATGAGATTAAAAACCACCCATGTTGCAAATCTTCCAATATCATTTTTAGTATAATTTGTTACCTTTTAGATACTGTAATTCTAACGGCAACCAGGTACCACTATAATAAAGGTAAGTTTAATTATCTGGTTTCTAAGTAACCAGTATTATAACTTATTCCACTTTTATTCCATTTTAACATGCATTCAAATGAGAATATTTCATAACACAAAGTATAATACTTTTTAAAGTATATATGATTTTATCCTATAATTCTTTCCCCAGAGGTCACTGCCACCATGAATTTGTGTTTATCTTTCTAATGCTTCCTTTACTGCTTTTACTGCATATGTATGTATCTATAAATAAATCACAGATGATAAAAAATAAAGTAATATGTTTAATTCACAGGATAACCTAGTTTAAAATTGCATATAAAAGAGGTAAATTAATTTTGATAGGTATTTTATAGACAAATATATAATTCAAGATTGAAATTTATCAAGAAATTAGCATGCAATATATTGATGCCTATTAAAAATACATTGTAAAGTAATATTTGGATAGTTATGATGTCCTATTTCTAATCAAATACATTATAAACTTTTATAAATTTTGAGTTTATTCAATCTTTTACAGAAAAGATCAGATATGATCCAAAAAATGCAAATACAAAATCCACCAGAAGAGAATAAAATTCAAATAAAGGTAAAAATCACATCATTAATCTCAGATCATGTTACTTCACACACCATAGTTAGAACAGCTACAGATTATTATTGACTTAACTGTAATAATAGTAATAATGGTAATTGCCACAGTTACGTGCACCAATAGCTTACTTAACTTACTATATGTTAGGCGCAGTAATTAGTAATTTACATTAATATTTCATTTACTTTTCACAATAACCAAGTTGAGATATTAATATTATTGACATTTTATAGATGAGGAAAGGGGAGGCCTACAGAGATTAAATGACTTGCTCAAGGTCACAGGGTTTGATAATGGAGGGGGTTTGACTCCATGTCTATCCTCTTAACTACAAAGTCAGAACCCAGCTCCCCAGAATGCCTGTTTCCTTGCATGGCCTTAGATGAGTCCTTTAAATTCTCTAAAGCTCATTTCCTTTAGCTGTAAAATGGGAATAACATTAATATATGCTAGAATTACTGAGAATTAATTAGGATGTTTTAAGAGAAAGTACTGAGCAAATCACGGAGCAATACACTGTTGCTTGTTATGTTACAGATAAAAACAACGTTGCAAATGAAAAAAAAAAAAAAAAACCCTGCAAATTGGCTCTTGGTCAAAATTTTCCAAGAAGAAATAGTTTACTTAGGTAAACATTAATGATTGTTTTATTCTGTGATATGACTGGAGCAGGAATCTCACCCAAATCTCACTTTCAATTGTAATCCCCAGTGTTGGAGGTGGGGCCTGGTGGGAGTTAACTGGATCATGGGAGCACTTTCTCATGATTTAACACCGTCTCCCTTGGTGCTGTTGTTGCAACAGTGAGTTCTCATGATATCTGGTTGTTTAAAAGTGTACGGCACCTCCCTCTTCTCTTCTTCCTGCTCCAGCCATAAGAAATACTGGCTTCCCCTTTGCCTTCTGCCACAATTATATACTTCCTGAGGCCTTCATAAAGGCCAAGGAGATGCCTCCAAGCTTCTGGTACAGCCTGCAGAACTGTGAGCAAATTAAGCATCTTTTCTTTAGAAACTACCCAGTCTTAGGTATGTCTTTACAGTCATGTGAGAACAGACTAATGCACCTTGCTTAGGTAAGACACAGAAATTATTACATAAAGGCAAATAGGAATCAATATCTTTATTATACAGAGAGAGAGAAAGAGATAAGCAACAATAGACTAAGCTGGAAGTGAACAGTGAAACTAGGAATCCAACTTTGGAGATGTGTACCATGAAAACTGTCATATTACTGGATTTGGGCTATCTAAGAGCTCTTCAAAACTAAGGCTTTTTAAAGTTATCTGGAGTCATTATCAAGTCTTAATTTACTGTGATTCATATACATATATGTATTGATTTCTGGCAATATTTAGCTCTTTAGGCATAGAAAGGGAAAATAATATTCAAAAGTGTCATCATCATTTTAGATGTTATTACTGGGATTATTTTTCTACAGGGCTTTGTGTTTTAAAAATTATGTTGTAAGTATAATGTCAATCAAAATCCTAAAACAAGTATTATTGCAAGTTTGAGATCAGGAAACTCGAATTCAACAAGGTTAATAATAAATCTCTTTATCTGTATATGCTGTATATGTGCATGCATGTGTGCATGTGTTGTACATGATGAGCACATAGGTGTCGATCATTCTGGTTAAATATTAGAAAGCAAAAAAGTAGCCCATCCTCTTCTTTGGAATTAGAGAAACCAATGAAGCACTGTATCAAAAATTAGGGGGAGAAAGATGAGAAGTAATAAATGGTAAAGAAAGTACAAAACGTCTCTAACACATAGATAGACCAATAACTACTTCTATTAAGAACATGAACTTGGTGTTTTACCTAGATTAGAACAAGATGCAGAATTTAGCAGACAGTGATGAGGTGAATTACCCTTGTGCCCTCCTCCCACAGCACTGGCTCAGACAACCACGAACAATGCCCCATCACCTCTTTGCTGGATTTCCTTTTCATTCCATCCCCATTTCCATCTCTGTGGTGGTTCAGTCAGGCTGGTGGGAAAAATTTTAGTTTTAATAGCCACAAACCCTCTTGGAAGGTCTGAGGGTTTGCATAACTTCAGTAATAAATCTGTCTGAAGGCAACCTTGTCCCCTTACCTTTAGTTAAGTAAACTAGAGTAGAAATAAAGGAATGTGGAGAGTTTACCTAACTAGCTTGTTTACTCGTGTGGTCCTAAGACTAACCTTTGATCTAACGTGGGTGCTTAATTGCCTTCTACTTGGGAAGTCCACAATGTCAATTACACTCTGGTGGTGTTGACTCAAGCCTTTGTCAATTAATCTTTACTGAATAAATGCAAGTCTTGCTGACTGATTGAGATCACAGTCAAAACTGTTTACAGCAATTTGCGTGGAGTCTGTAAGCGGCCCAGATGCTCAGCTGGACTGGCAAAGCAGAATATCTGTGTGTCAGTGTACTTTATTCATCCATGATTGGGTCAGGTTCTGTAGGACAGACCCCCACACATTTCTGGGGAGCTATTCTGTATCTAGCTATTAGGCTGCTGAAGACACCAAGGTCTTGGGATGATGTTCAGATGACCAACACCTGGAATGGCTGCATGTTCTCTAAGGCTAACACATCTTCCTGGGCTTTGTCAGTGACTTGGAGTGTCACTACTACTCATAGGACAATGACTATTTGTTTAACCTATATAATCAGATAACAACTCTAAGCCTCAGCTTTCTTGTCTGTAAAATAAACTAACTAGCTAATTTCTAAAGTGTTAAGACCTTGCCACTATAGGAATTCTACATCCAAGAGATGTCTTGTTTTCTATTTCCTGAGGCACGTGAATTTTTTGTATCTAGTAGCTTTGCACCTTTCTTAATGTCTGATCATTAATTATTTAGACAAAGTACATATAGCCAAAAGAAAAGAAATAGAGAAAAAGGCCACATATTTTCAGTAATTCCTACAGTCACTTTCAAGACTCTCACATCACTAAATGAGGAATAAAGGAGACTTTGAATTGCATAAACCCACAAATATAATAAGTTGCATTATCAAAAGTGTTTTCTTGATGATGTAAGAAGAACATTGCGAGAGAGTGTAGAATCTGCAAGGTCCTACCTACCTCCTGGCCGTTCATGCTCTCCATCAGTGTGTAAAAGCATGGCAATGGGCATCCCTACATTCTTGGATCTTCCAGCCACAACCACATTTTTTCCAAACGTCTGAATTCCTTAAAATACATAGTTAGGTTTAAATACAGAATTGATAACAAGAAGTAAATTAAACATTTGTACAGTCAACTGAAACATTCTTTTAAATATTTCTAATTGAATCTGAATTATTATGTGGCTTATCTATAATATGAGCACATTCATTATTTATAAATAATTCATTTTATGCTTCTTTGATTTGGCACTTCTCTGATTATGTCCTCATTAAAAAACACAGACATTCTTAAGTTGACGTTAAGTTACTATTAAACACTGAGATTCACGTTAAGAGTTAGAAGAGTAGAGTCTTAACACATGTTAACCGCTAATTATAAAATAAGCAAAGTACAACAATATCAAACTTAATTGGCAATCAAATTTTGAGCAACACTGGAACAAAACAGGCATTTTTCACAAAGCTCATGCATTTTACTCCATAGGAAAGAAGCATTAAACTTACAGACTTAGAAAGATTTAAAAAATAAAGCCTGTAGAACCTTCTACTTCTTTTCCACTAAGTTTCTTCAGAAGTAAAGCAAAGAAGTTAGAACTAAGGATTTTCCAATACTAACACTGTAAGAGTATGATTCTAGGATCAGTTTTCTCTTGGACGTTTTTCTTTCTCAGAAAACAGATTAGAAAGGAGAAAATGCTGCCAAAAATAGAAGTAACAATGATGGAGGTAGGAAAATCATTAACATATAAGGCAATTTGGGTTACTTAACATAGAGGTAAACATCTGTATACACTGTAAGAGCATTACCTGATCCAGTACAGTACAAGAGTAAATGTTTAAAATGAAAACCCAAGTCAATAGAAATGATAACTATGTGATCAGCACATATTTTTAAAGGTACAGAAAAATATATTTTAGAAAAGTTTTCATCATAATGCATGAAGTTTATATTTTAAAGGTAGACATATACCACCACTATGTGGAAAATTCACTTCCTGTAAGTTGCAACTGCAGTTATATATAGCCTGGCTAATGTTCTTCATTTTATTTTATTTTGGATTTTTTTTCTGTTTGTTTGTTTTGTTTTTGAGACAGAGTCTTGCTCTGTCGCCCAGGCTGGAGTGCAGTGGTGTGATCTTGGCTCACTGCAAGCTCCACCTCCCAGGTTCATGCCATTCTCCTTCCTCAGCCTCCCGAGTAGCTGGGACTACAGGTGCCCACCATCATGCCCAGCTAATTTTTTGTATTTTCAGTAGAGATGGGGTTTCACCCTGTTAGCCAGGATTGGATTATGTTTTGACTTCTATAATTTTATATCTCTCTATAGACTGATGTTTTATGGCTTATGATTTTCTGCCACTCTACAGGACTGAGGTGGTCCCATCAAGTCTCAGTGCACAAATGCTCAGCTCAGCACCTAGCATCCATGTCCTGCAGACCACAAGTTACCAACCTGTTCTTTTTATTATTTCCCAAACAGCACTGGCAGTGGCAGGTATGAGAGAATGCTGATCAAGGCACAATCTTCCAATATTGATAATATGAAATCCATCTACATCTTTTTCTGGGGCAATTCCATTGCATATCGTTCGCTCATCAACGTGGTCTGAAAAATAAATAAAATTTGTCTAATTTTAAAATCGTTATTTATTTGGTAGTCTGAAAAATGAAATCTGAGAATCTAAAGCCACATCACTTATAATTTAGTTCCAAGAAAGGTGTAAAGTCACTATTATTATTACTATTTGCCACCAAAATAGTAAGCCAAAGTGCTCTTGACTGATAGCTGTAATCAACTGCAGCTGGAGTATATGCTATTCCAGAGTCAAAGTGGCTGGACCAGTGAAAGAAAAAAAAAATTGTGAATTAAAAAATACCAATAAGATCTGGTAATAGCCAGGTGTCATGTCTTTGTTTCAGTAAGTTTGTATATTTACAGGGTTTCAATCCACATTTCTCTGACACAAGACAGTTCTACTAATAACCTTCTATTAAATACTTTGACCTCTGGAGATTAAAAGGGGTTTATTAGTGTTAAGAATAGTCATAACATCACGAGTTCATAGCTTCCTCTTAAATGACATAACAAAAAAGTTAATATAAAACATGTGCACACACACACATCTTTTCTCTAAAGCATTGTCACAGTAAAACAAAAAATATTACTACAATTTGCTATATGGAAGAAAAATAACACAACCTGAGTAATAAACTCATCAAATGAAATATGGGATGCCAGTCATCTCATTTTTTAAAAGTAAGTATAGAAATATAAAACAGCCTCCTATTACTCTATGCAGAGTAGTTTAACTTACCACTAACCTAACAATTAAGCCATGTGCCTAATATATTAAAAGTATATTTTCTACGTAAAAGTTTCTTTGGCCATTATATAATGCGATTTAGACATAATTCCTTAAAACATTATAAAAGTCCAAGTTCAAACTTTTCAGAAAGCTATGCCTTGGGCTTTATATATTTTGTATTCTAAAAGTGTGCTACTGCTACTTTACTATAAGTCAAGTCAATTAACCATAATTAATTAATTAATTAATTAATTTTAAAGGACAAAAGTCCTTTAAATATATAAAAGTATTCATTTGAATCTTATTCAAATAGAAACTGAGTCTTTGGAAAGTCTCTTCATTCAATAGTTTTTCACTTGTAATAACTGCATTCAGTCTATAATGTTTTAGCAGGGCCTCCATCTATTTTCTCTATAGCTAGAAGATCATCATATAGATTCTAGTCAAACTTTTAAAAGAATACATATTGAACTTATTACATGAGGGCAAAAATAGTGGTTATTTTATAAAAAAATCTAGGTGATGATGATGATAAGTCATTTTTAAATCACCTATCATTCATGCAGAATCTTCATGACATGGATATTTTTTACAATGAAATGAAAAGTTGTATATATGAAAAGAAAAACAACCATATTTGAAGTATCTATTTTCAGCTAGGACTCAAATTAGTTTATTTCTAAGTTCAAAACTGGCAAATATATGCATGGGCTGTGCTACTGATTGAAAAGAACTCAACAAGGACTCTTTGTAGATTTTAAGAACCATCCTCCAAACAATAAGCCTGAATTACACTGAATTTTGCCATCTACCATTGTTTGCGCTCCCATTCAGGGAAAATAACATTAAAGCTATAACAAATATTTCATTTCACACACCAGCTGAAATACTTGAGAAGAAGTGTAAGCATCTGAAAATCTGGAAGCCAGAATTAGAGACTAGTGGTACAGATCTGTCCTCTTGTATATGCCAACTTCAACCCAGATCATAATTCAGATCACCATTTTGGTTTGTCTTAAGTATTTAAGTATTAGTAGTTTAAAAGACAGATGAGTGGACATACAAAAGGTACAGTGGATTCATAAAACCTGAATCTAAAAGGAAAAGAGCTTCATATGAGTAGATGAAAAAAGTGAAGATCATAAAAGTCAAGAAAACCAATTCATTTATCATTTTTATGTAACTCTGTTATCTCAGCAGTATATTAAATCTAACATATATCTTTTTCCAGGAGAAATCTACCTATTATTATGTAGTATACAGTATATAGCAATAATCTGAACTACTCTAACATTTAAAAAGTGCTTTACAATGATTATATTAGTTTTATATCAATTTCCTTTTAATCTTCATAGTTACTGGGGATGAAAGTAAAAAAGATATGATCATGCCCATTTTAAAGACAAGCTCAAGCAGTTACAGTCAATCTCACATTACTACTAAGAATCCAGAATTTAAATCCATATCCTTTTAAGATCAGTTTTTCCTTTTGTATTATAGAGAAGTCATAATAAATATTAATCATTTTAAATACCATTCAAAAATTAAAATCACAGAGGCATCTCTCCCAACTCCTAATAAGACATTTGATAGCTCTAAAATATCCCAAGAAATGTATTGTTTCTCCTAGGGCTCCAAATATAACACTGTTCCTAGATGAATACTTGTCTAAACACATACAAAAAAGCATCAAACATTTTACATTTAGGATTACAGGTAATCCTACTTCCTTTTGTTATATGAGTAAGAGAAATAAATACATTTCCTGTTTGTGACTGACTGTTACTAAAAGTCTCCCAAAATCTCACCCTTGGGGCACATGACTTGAACAGAAAAAACAATCGCGAGACTCAATAGCATCAATTTTCTCACAACAGTTATACAACATGTTTGATTCACAGGATACACTGCTAAACGACACAGCACTTAACATCTTACCCAAATGAATGATAAAACTGGTTTTATTCACTTTGTGTTTTTCCCCCTCCTATTTAAAGTTATGAAAAGTCATTAAATCATGGTAGGAAAAACAGAACTCATCAAATCAAAATATGAACCACTGCAATAAAACAGCTTAGATATAATACCTTCAGGGACCTCACTGTAGATTTACTATGCTGAATGAATATACATTTTGTATGGGTTTTTATTTATTTATTTATTTATTTATTTAATTTATTTATTTTTTGAGACAGAGTCTCACTCTGTCGTCCAGACTGGAGTATAGTGGTGTGATCTCAGGTCACTGCAACCTCTGCCTCCTGGGTTCAGTAGATTCTTCTGCCTCAGCCTCCCAAGTAGCTGGGACTATAGGCACGTGCCACCATGCCTGGCTAATTTTTGTATTTTTAGTAGAGACGGGGTTTCACCATATTGGCCAGGCTGGTCTCAAACTCCTGACCTTGTGATCCACCCACCTCGGCCTCCCAAAGTGCTGGGATTACAGGCATGAGCCACTGCACCTGGCCACTGAATACATATTTTCGTGATTTATTTATAATATGCTTAATTGCCTTTGGACAATGAACAGAAAAAAAAGGAACAAACAAATTACTGGCTTATTTTCCACCTATAGATTTTTACATTACTGTTTAAAAATACCACCTTCCACTTCCCCCACATCTGTTGGATAAGTGCAAGCTCATCAGTATAGTAAACATTGTGTCCTTTAGCTTATTCTTCCTATAGTCTCTTCTCTGTGTTCCATACCTTTACCAACCATCATCATCACATGCCCTGCACTCTAGTCACACCAAACCATGTCCTTTTCCCAAGCCCTTACCATTAACTTCTGCATTGTTATTGCTCATGATGATTTTTTTCACTAGTAATTCTCTCCTCTCAGTTTTTTTAATATCCTATTCATTCTTCAATGCATTGATCAATTGCTCCCTTTTGAAATGATCACAAATAGAAATAATATTTTTTTCCTCTGTTTTCCCATGGAATGGCTATAAAAAATACTTAGCACACTAGTTCAGTTAATGATATTAGTTGTTTAATTATCTCTATCATTTATGAATGTGAGCTTTTTAGGACACAATCTGTCTTAAACTGATTCACTTATAACTACTCCATCTCAGTAGACGGTGTGAAAAAAAATATCTTGGGCCCCCAAAATCACTAAGCTAAAGGGAAAATTCAAGCTGGGAACTGCTCAGGGCAAATCTGCCTCCCATTCTATTCAAAGTCACCCCTCTGCTCACTGAGATAGATGCATGTTCTGGTTGCTTCTTTTGGAAAGGCTTATCAGAAACTCAAAAGAACACAACCATTTGTCTCTCACCTACCTGTGACCTGGAAGACTCCTTCCCCACTTCAAGTTGTCCCCGCCTTTCTGGATGGAGCCAATGTACTTCTTACATATGTTGATTGATGTCTCATGTCTCCCTAAAATGTATAAACCCAAGGTGTGGCCCAACTACCTTGGGCACATGTTGTCAGGACTCTGAGTCTGTGTCATGGATGCCTGTCTTCAACCTTGGCAAAATAAACTGAGACTTGTCTCAGATTTTCAGGGTTCACAATGGGAAACCCATCCTTCTATGCTACTTGCCAAGAAAACCTGGAGTCATCTTAAATATCCCTCTTTCTCTTACACCTAACAACCAAACCATTGGAAAATCCGTTAGCTTTCTTCATAATAATATATCTAGCACTTTATCAGTCCCACCATGTTCATGATACTACTCTACTTTGAGTGAACATTATTATTCCTGTCAATTCTTGAAACAGCTTCCTAATTAGTTTCCTTCTTCTATATGTGCAACCATACAATTTATTCACAAAACAGCAATAGAGTTATACCTTTGAAATGCATATTTGATCACACTGCTTTTCTCAAAACCCTGTAATGTTATTACCTTAACAATTGCAAACAAGGTTCCACATGATTTTTACTGCACCAAAACTATAACTATGTATCTAATTCCATCACTGGTTACTCTCCTCTTCTCTCAGTCTGTGAGCATCAAGCTGTTAGTATACATCAAGCTGATGTTCCCTGAAAATATGAGGCATTTTGCCACCTTAGCTATAGCTTTCTATTTGCCTGGAAGGCTTTTCTAAAAAAGAACTGTCACATGGGCTAAATCCCTCCCTTCTTTCAAACGTTTTCTTAAATACCACATTCTCACTGTTAAAAGAAACACTTCAGCCAAATTAAATTTAAAGAGGTTTAATTGAGCAATGAACAAATTAATGAATTGGGCAGTCCCCAGAATCACAGCAGATTCAGAGAGACTCCAGCATAGCCACGTGGTAGAAGAAGATTTATATACAAAAAAGGGACATGAGACAC